CGAAAAGACCACTGGTAAGAGTGAGAAAGTCTTGTCGTTGATTCGTGTCCCCGCAGCTGCTGCATCGTTCGACTTTCATTAGCCACGGTACGCTATATTTTCTACCGTTTTTTTTTTTTTTTTAATACGGTTAAGCTTCTTTAACTGTGATTCATGACTCAGCGTCGGCTTCGTCCTTTTACTTCACCAAATTCAGGAAAAGAAAACGACTAAATCCACTTTTCGTAACATTTCAAAAAAGGTCTCCTTTATTCCATCAATATCTCATCTACAAAAGCCCTATGATAACCACTACGAAACACAAGCATGAAGCACGTAAACTCTAAACAGGTATGCGTAGTCGGCCATTTTCTGGTCATTTTCTTTATTGTTAAACCATCGGCAGCCTAATTAATAATTAAATTTCGCGCGCACTCTACATTTAAGTCCCGGATGTGTCGCGGCATTCTGCACGATGTACGTTGTTGCCAACTGTTCAAATCAATCAATCTTTCTATCACAATATCCTCAAAAAGCAATCACGACAAATTTGCAGGCTCTATACTTGTTTGTAAGTATTCTCTCAAAATAAGAATAGATTCGGCTATTATCAATTAAATAATTCCCCATGACCTGTTTCACAGTTGGTTCCAGAATATCCCGTTTTACAATCACAGCGATAACCTCCAACAAGATCCACACATGTACCGCCATTTTGACAAGGATCAGGCGAGCACTCGTTGATGTCTGAAAATTTGGAATAACGGATAGTTAATTTCAACAAGAGTAGTCAAAACCTTCAGCCCTAAAAGAGAGAGATGGCACCCTTAGCTCCGCACAAGTGTATCGATTGTCCGGCATCGCAGATTATGTAACGTTCGCTGGAGAATTGTTCCCGATATATCTATGGATAATGCATTTATGCTCAGATCAAATGAAAGAAAGATCCCTCTTAGGTTGTTATCACCTGTTCCACAGTTGCTTCCCGAATATCCTGTTTTACAATCACAGCGGTAACTTCCAACAAGATCCACACATGTGCCGCCATTTTGACAAGGTGCCGGAGCACACTCATTGATGTCTGAAAATTAGAAATAACACGTCTCTTTAGTAAGTTATGTATCAAATTCGCCTGGAAACATATCAATAATTTTTCTGGACTCAAAAAGTTTTATTTGTACTGTAGCTAAATTTATCTGGCTTAGATGACAAAGGAACAATTGACCTTCGACACCCGTTCTGTATCAAGTTTGCCTATTTGTTTAGTTTGCACCCAGCCTTAACATTGTTATAAGCCGGATCGCAAAGAATTTCTCTGTTGTGATAAATTAATAATGAAGGTGAATTTTAAGCTCGGCAATGAAATGTGAAAAGTAAATTGATCAACATGACACCAGCGTGAGACAAAGAAAAAATCTAAGTCCCCGACAGGAATCGAATCCATGACCTCCCGAACACCGGGCGGCTCTATCCAGTGAGCTATGAGCACTCAAGGAAAGCAAGGTCATTTAACAGAGTTCATATGTGACAGGCGTCCTGCATACTGCTAAGATCAGCACTGTCGAAGTCACCGTGAGTAGTGATAAGTGAATTAAGGAGATGAATTTTAAGCTCGGTAACGAAATGTGAAAGGTGAATTGATCAACATGACACGAATGTGGGACAAAGAAAAAATCTGAGTCCCCGACAGGAATCGAACTCACGACCTCCCGAACACCGGGCGGGTGCTCTATCCACTGAGCTACGAGAACTCAAGGAGAGCAAGGTCATTTAATAGAGTATCTGCCATTTCAGTTGACATGAAGTCCCCTGGAAAACTGTTATTGGTATCTCTAATAATACATTTATGTTCACGTGACCATAATTACTTTGAAATAAATAAACCTCTTCGGTTGTTATCACCTGTTTCACAGTCGTTGCCAGAATATCCTGTTTTACAATCACAGCGGTAACTTCCAACAAGATCCACACATGTCCCACCATTTTGGCAAGGTGCAGGGGCACACTCGTTGATATCTGAAATTAAAATTAGGGTTTACCGCCAGTAATTAATTCCACTAATTCCATAATTTAACTTAGAAGGAAAAAATATGAATTCTTTTGTCAAATTGACAAGTTTTACAAGTTTTTTTCTTATGTTTTGCAGCTCTCATTATTCATCAACACTGCATGAGGAAATCAGCACCAATTAATTCCACGTTTTCAACCAATCTCGTAACACAGAAACTTTAAGGATGCTGTCACCTGTTTGGCAGATATCTCCAGAATATCCTGTTTTACAATCACAGCGGTAACTTCCAACAAGATCCACACATGTGCCGCCATTTTGANCACAATTGTTTCCAGAATATCCTGTTTTACAATCACAGCGGTAACTTCCAACAAGATCCACACATGTGCCGCTATTTTGACAAGGTGCAGGGGCACACTCGTTGATGTCTGAAAATTAGAAATAACGAGAAATAATTTTTCATTAAATTAGATTTAAAAAGATCCATTCTTAAAAGAAACAGTAAGCCCCCTTGGCTCTATTTTAAGTGTACATTTTAGATCATGTGGCGCCCCTGGAGAATAGATCATGATAATCTCTTTGCGTAACGCATGCTTAACTTTTTACGTGAAATTATTTCAATTAAAATAAACCACCCTCTAAGGTTTTTATCACCTGTTCCACAGTTGCTTCCCGAATATCCTGTTTTACAATCACAGCGGTAACTTCCAACAAGATCCACACATGTGCCGCCATTTTGACAAGGTGCAGGGGCACACTCGTTGATATCTAAAAATTAGCAATAGCGAGAAGTAAATTTCCACTTGGGTAGATATAACAATTTCAGCCCTAAAAGAGACAGTCTTCACACGAGCATATAATTATATTGATTTATTGCTCATTGCAAATCACGTGAAGTAACCCGAAGAATTGTTCCTGATACGTCTTAAACTTGCATTCATGTTCACCTGAAAATAATTAATTGAAAAAACCCTCTAAAGTTGTTATCACCTGTTTCACAGTTGGTCCCAGAATATCCCGTTTTACAATCACAGCGGTAACTTCCAACAAGATCCACACATGTGCCGCCACTTTGACATGGGCCAGCTGCACACTCGTTAATGTCTGGAAAGTGGAAGTAACGGCCAGTAACCTTTATTTACAAAAAAAACACACTTAAACCCTATAGGAGATAAAAACCCAGTTAACTTTGTGCATTGATTGTATGCCCTTTTATCTCTGTAAGTGAAATGACTACATTTGAACGAAACAACCCAAAGGAGCAGCTATCGTCTTATGAGGTTGTTGTCACCTGTTTGACAATTGTTTCCAGAATATCCTGTTTTACAATCACAGCGGTAACTTCCAACAAGATCCACACATGTTCCGCCATTTTGTCAAGGATCAGGTGAGCACTCGTTGATATCTGAAAATTAAGATCTGTTGTAATCTACATGCTTACAAATGTTCAAAAGGATAGTGGTGAATCACATTATGTCAAGTTTCAGCTCATTAGTCTTTATATTTAGAACAAATTATTTTACCGTTAAATAGACTCTGATATAAGCCAGGGGAGATAAGACATTTGGAGTCACAAGAGTAAAAATTTGTAGATCATCCAATGGCAAACGTAAACAGAATGAGACATTTAATCATAGGGAAGAAAAACTGATTGTTAAGTTCATACCCGTTTGACAGTTGTTGCCAGAATATCCTGTTTTACAATCACAGCGGTAACTTCCAACAAGATCCACACATGTGCCGCCATTTTGGCAAGGGTTAGGTGAGCACTCGTTGATATCTGTGACAATCGATTCAATAGATCAGCAAGGAACCAGTTTATAGAGGTTTGAGTGAAAGTGCATGTTGCTTTTTAAATAATTTTTCCCGATTCTCAGCAAAGGCAGTATTAACCCTCGGTTACGCAGCAAAATGTAATAATAATCGCCGCAAAATGTAGTAACATTGACGCAAAATGTACCAGTATTCAACGGAAAATGCTAAAGGTAATTTTTTCTAACTTATAATGTAATAACACAAAATTTAAAGTTTCCGAATGACACGTGTGATACTTCGAAATGAGTCTCATCAGAACTCAGTTACCCACGTTAACGCGAATTGAATAACAGGTCTTCAGGTTTTGTTCTCAACTCTTAAAAGCAGGGCATTAGCTAGCAAGATGCAAGACGAGGCATTTTCCTCGTCAAGACTTTATCACCAAATTTGTAAAAAAAAGTAGTTGGTTAGAAAAGTATCCCTTGGGTTTAGCCCCACCTCCAAAAATGTCTTACTGTTCAGTGATGATCCCCCACTCTGTAGCCCCAGCCCATCCCCAGAATACACATGCCATATGCATTTTCACTGTAGACCATGATTTGGGACTTTGACTTCAAGATTTGACTTGTTTTAAATTATGCGTTAAAAAAGTTATTACTTTTTGCGCAAAAAAGTTATGACATTTTCCGTTGAATACTGTCTTACATTTTGCGTTAGTATTACATTTTGTGGTTATTGTTACTACAATTTGCGTCAGTGTTACATTTTGAAGCGCAACAAACCCTCGGACGTACAAGGAAACTCGTACGCCACCGTGGTACAAGGTGGGGGGAGGTGGATGCAACCCCTCCCCTGGGCTTCGCTCTGCTAGGGCGAAACGGAAAATTTGCATTGAGTAGATAGGGCTGTTCTCATACTCTACAAGATGAGCCCATTTTTTGCCTATGAAGTCATCGATCCGCCATCTTGGATTTCATTGTTCAAGAAATAACGAAAATTAATACAAAATCAACCCAAGACACTCATGAAAAGAAAAAAATCAAGAAATCATGCAATTTGATGAAGAAAACTGAAAAAAATAGTGAATAATGTCACGAAAAGTTCATTTTTGCCCAGACTTACACGAAATTTGCGGTTGTAATCCCCCTTGATAAGCCTAGGTGCTTTGAGGGAAAACGTGACAAATAGGTTTTAATTAAAAAAGTGCGGTTGCCATGGAAATTCTAAAAATCATGGACATGCAGCTGACATATCAAAATTTCCGCGAAGTAATATATCAAACACGAAAGACCGTGTTTGACCACATTTCCAAACACCGAGAAGAGAGCTGAAAATACGACGCGCAGCGGAGTATTTTGGACGAACTTCGAGGTGTTTAGAACTGGCGTGTCATACTTGTTTTACAGTTGTTCCCATATTATCCTGTTTTGCAATCACAGCGGTAACTTCCAACAAGATCCACACAGGTGGCTCCGTTCTTGCAGGGATTGTTGCTACACTCGTTTATATCTGTAAATAAATAGTTTATTCTTAATGCATGAGAATATGGACTGCTCCCACATTACTTTGCATCTGTAAGATAAACTGAAATGTATTTGAAATTATAGCAATTGTTATAGGGCTGTCATTGGATGAGTGTAGGCCATTTTATCGTTAATTCTTAATTTGTACTGCAGCACAAATTAACGCGCAAGCGTGCGCAATTTTCACAGCCATATACTATTGTGCAATTTTGAGAGAATTTTCAGATAATTATCACTCGTAGTGTAAATTCATAATTGCACTCGCATTCATACGATTTCCCATACCAATTAAAAAAGGAGGAAAAACAAAAGACAGAAGATTCTTTCTCACTTGTTTCACAGTTATTTCCAGTATATCCGGTCTTACAATCACAGCGGTAACTTCCCTTAAGATTGACACAGGTAGCTCCGTTCTTGCATGGGCTGTTGGTACACTCATTTACATCTGCAAAAGAAACAACAACAACAACAACAACATAAGTGCAAACGTTGCCGTGTTTGGCTACAACGAAACAACACAATCCGACAGATCTTCATCGGCCTTTTACCGTTTTTCTTTAAACTATAGTGTAACCAAACAACTAGCGGTAAGGTATGCTATAACCAGTGTATTACGCAAAACACTAGAGGTGAAGTACATTTATGTATAGCCGATGACAGAATTCAGAAACATTTTCCTCGCTTATCCACAGAATTCTTTTCTTCATTTGAATGCAGGATAAACATACTAAACTAACTACAATATTATTTCTAAAATACCGTTTTGACAGTTGTTTCCATGGTATCCGGATTTACAGCTACAGAGATAACTCCCGGCTCGATCAGAACAAACTCCACCGTTTTTACACGGGCTCGAAATTTTGCACTCATCTGTAAATTATGTTTGAAAACAAACAAAAAATGAAATGATCAAAGACGATATTTTTAGCGTACTATTAATTTTAAGTTTTATCAGACCTCAGCAAAAGGGTCAAGTTATTTACTTATTTATTTAATTATTTATTTATTTAGTTTTTAATATCACGTCGATAAAATATTGTTAACTGTTGATGCAACATCAGTTTGTCTCTCAAGAAGATCATCAGCCAAGTTGCAATTGCTACAATTTTATTAAACAACATGGTAACGTTTCTCACCTACATTCATCTTGCAACATTTCAACGTCTCAATACAATAGAGTCTATCACAGCCTCCTCTGTAGATTCCAGCGATATAGTAACCCCCTCGCTTGCATTTGCTTAGTCCTTTATTGTCAAACGAAGATAAGATATTCTCGTTATAGCAGTGCTCATATCGATCTGGAAATGTATTCGGTTTACAGCATTTAGCTTCTTCGATGTTATGTAACCAAGCGCCACTGCCCCGATAGAAACCTTGGACAAAGTAACCATTTGGACAAACAGCCCATGAGTTCGTTCTGATAAGAAAACAAGGAACAAAATCACCTCTTGTAAATAGAATATTACAACCACCCTAGAAATCATGGTGTTTGAAACCCTACGATCGTTCTTCCTGTACTTACTTATCGAGAACTCCCCACCAATTGGCTGTTTTACACTTCGATGCCGTGTTCTGATTTGGCGAAGGAGCTGGGCAACATTTTGCCTCCTCCAGTAAAGAGATCTTGTCGTTTGATCCTCTATTATTATTCCTCCAAAGCCCAGTAATATAATGCTTTGACGAGTCGCACTGAACCCAGCCTTTCTTGTCAAAGGCTCCCCACCAGTTTGCAAACTTGCACCCGTCGTACATCATGCAACATTTGAACTTTTCGATGCAGTACAGTTTATCGCAACCTCCCTTGTAGAAACCTGCCATATAATATTCGCTATCACAGTTGCTCCAGCCTTTGTTGTCGAAGGATTTCCCGACATCCTGGTCATAACAGCGGAGATAACTACCGGGCAAGTTGCTGGGCTTACAGCAACGGCCTTCCTCGATGTGACGAAGAGAATTTCCAGTGTTGCGGTATAATCCTTGCAAGAAATAACCATTTGGACAAAGGGCCCAGCGGTTGTTGCTAAGGAAGAATATTTAACAATTAGATTGCTGATGAGCTCGAGATTATTATGAGCTCTACTAGTCGTTTAACTAAGGCTTTAACCAAGTCCTCTTCACAGACACTTGGAAAACTCAACGAGGCGGCCACAATTTTGTAAACATCTGCACACTGCTTGGCTACTCAGTATCCAGAACAGGACATAGCTAGTGAGTAGCGTAGCCAATCAGAGAAAGACATAAGTGAGACGGAGAACGCTAGTTGATTTACACTAAATGCTGATGATATGTGACTGAATTTGGATAAAGTGCCTACTACTCTTTTCTCTTGACCTCTTTTACTGCATATGAAGATTCAATGAATCGTTACTTTTAAGTCACTTTAAATCAACTGATCCCTCAATTGATGTTAATTACGATTTCGTACTACTGGCGTATTACGTGTTTGGTTGTTTGTTTAGTTGTTTGCTTCTTTGCTTGATCGGTTAAATGCGCGTTTATTCCCAGCAGCACCTTCAAAAATTACATTGTGAACAGCAAAAACATAGTCAACCGACCTTATTGTATTTCTCGATGGTTAGAAACACAGCATACACATGTAGCGCCATTCCTTTTGATGTGCTAACTTCCAACCATAATAGTCAAAAAGTATATATATATATATATATATATATATATATATATATAAATGTTTGAAAGAAAATTCGCCCTGAGTGGGATTTGAACCCACGTCCCCCCGCATACTAGTCGGGTGTGATATCCACTACACCAT